ACAGCACAATGGTCTTGAGTCACTTTTATCATCACTATCAGCAGCAGCAGCAGCATCACTGTAAGAAACATAAGACATCTGTAGCCCACAGTTGCAGTGTATATCCAACAAGAGAGACCAATTTAGCATCAGAACAGTAGTGAATGGTCCAGATGCATTGCCTGGTGATAACTGTAGAGAATCACATAGGATCACGGGTTACTGTGGGATTTTTAAGCAACTCGAGCCTAGCAAGTTTGCCATGGGCAGGTTCTAAGCTGGAGATCAATGGTGGTGACTGTTTAAAAATAAATCAGAGCCAAAACTGGTTTGGCTCAGTGGATAGAGCGTCAGCCTGCGGACTGAAAGGTCCCAGGTTCGATTTCGATCAAGGGCATGTACCTTAGTTGCGAGCACATCCCCAGGAGGGGGTGTACAAGAGGCAGCTGGTCGATAATTCTCTCATCGATGTTTCTACCTCTCTATCCCTCTCCCTTCCTCTCTGTAAAAAATAAATAAAATATATTTTTAAAAATAAATAAATAAATCAGAGATCGTGTGGCAAAGGGAAAAGCATGAACGATGAAAGGACCCTCTAGTTCAGTGGTCGGCAAACTCCTTGGTCCACAGAGCCAAATACCAACAGGACAACGATTGAAATTTCTTAGGACCGCCACATTTTTTAAACTTAAGCTTCTTTTCATGCCACTTCTTCAAAATAGACTTGTCCAGGCTGTGGTATTTTGTGGAAAAGCCACACTCAAGAGGCCAAAGAGCCACACGTGGCTCTCGAGCCATGGTTTGCCAGCCACTGCCCTAGTTGAGTCTTTAAAGGTGAGAGCTGAGAAGGCATGGCCACGACAATGACTCGTCCCCTGCCACAGGCATGCGGGCCCAGGGCCCGCTGGAGATGAGGATGTGCAGGCAGGTGAAACCATCCATGAAACTTGTCGCCTCTCAGAGGCCCTGTGAGTTTTTCGGATGTTGATTTCTTCTGCATGTGTGAAACCAGAAGTACAGATGCCGAAAGCTGATTCCAGCATGTCAGCAGGGCTGAATCATCTGGAGATGGCTGAGGGCATTTCCCCTAAACCTAAAAAGGATGCATAAATTGATTGTTTGCTGCCAGACAGCTGAGGGCATCTTAATCTACATGTTATTGCCTCCTCCTGGCCAAACAGCTGAACAGCTGGAGGTAATTCTTCCAATCTGACAATGGATTCTGTATACCAAACCTTACCCTTTGATGTGTATATCTCCACCTCGCCTTAGGACAAATTGTGTTAATAAATAGCAAGGGGTCCTGAGACAAGAGAGAACTTGGTTTCTTCAGCCAATGTCCTCTGGCCTCCCAATGCCTTGCAAAAATATGTTTTGTCTATGGACTCTTATTTAATTTACACACAGTGCCTTCTCCAGATTCCGAACCCTTCTAGATGCTGGACGAGGTAACCGCAATATACAGAATTTAGAGAAGGTCAAGCAGGAAAGAAGCAAGAGAAGGTTTGTTTGACTTGACTGTTGAGAGTCCCAGATTATGACCATTTCTGCTCTTCTCTTGGAAAGGGCCTTCATTTGTACTAATAAGCATGTGAGCTGGTGCCAATGAGGGTGGGAAGGGTTCAGATCTGAAGTGTTCACATTTAAGTTAAATTTTGGAATAGTTGCTACTACAGATTATACTTTGATTACTGACCATTTCAAACATTTTGGCCCAACCCCTTAGATCCCAAAGTTCTCTGCTACCCAGATAACTGATTTATTTTAATTATTTTTATTGTTGAAAGTATTACAGATATTCTTTTTTTTCTTTTCTTCTTTTACTATGGATATCTAAGCAGCCTTTAAAACACCCAGCCCAAGTCTGGACTGTCATGGTAGCTGGGTGAGAGATAAGGGTAAGAAACGTATCCAATCATCTCACCACATTTCTGCTTTTTTTGTACAAGCTCCAGATGAAATACAGTCACTCAATAAAGTCCTTCTGTTTCTCTCCCCTCCCTCCCTCACTCCCTTCCCATTTGCCTAGAGAGGGGAACCCTAAACCCTTTGGGGCCCTGCCAGCAGCACCAAAAGAATCTCTTGACTATTTTCCCAGGGAATTCCTGCCTTAAATGTCAGCGGAGTGCAGCTCCCCACCGAAGCAGAGGCCGCCTGGATCCAAATCAAGGAAAATGTGCTGCTCTACCAGCCAGGGGAGACCTGGATCCGGGGCTGGGGGCTGGGGGCTGGGGGCAGGACAGGGGCTCAGTGACAGGATTGGGGGCCTTGGAGAAGGTCTCCTCAGATGCACCCCACTGAAGAACGGGAAGCGGGGTCCACCACTTGGTTCATTGCTGGTTTTAGATGTTATTTTTGCATTACTCTCTGAGTGGGGGACTGTGCTTCTGGAAACCACGCTGCATTGAAATAAGGCAACGCCTCTCTGATAGAAGAACAAAGCCACCATTACAGCCCTTGGCTGGTGGCTATGAGCCGGTGGTGGTGGTGGTGGTGGCGGCAGCGGCAGCCCCTGAAGCTGCTGTTGTGTTTCTGTGTTTCTGTGTTTGTTTGTAATGAACATGCTGATATGTAAGGGCTCTAGGGAGTTCATGATGCTGCAGTTCGTGAAAAGCAAAATAAGATTTATGAGTTGCCACTGACTCTGCCCCCACCAGCCCGGGGCACTCCGCGTCCGGGAGGAGGCCCTGCTGGCACTGCCAGGGCTGTTTCAGTTTTCACTCTCTGCACACAGGAGGAAGGGGTCAAGGTTCTGAGGGCAAAGGTGGGGGGCAGTCCGCAAACCCCGAAGACGCACTCGGCACCAAAGGAGAGTGGCGTGGTATAAGTTTAAAAATTTGGAGCTACGTCGGTCAGCTACTTTCTGCTGAGTATTGTTGTAGCTGTCATTTACCTCTTTCATGTTTCCTCACATGTTCCTGAGCCACAGCTTCACTCACCCAACTCTCCCAGCGGGCCTGACCCGAAGGGCTGATTGGAAGTCAGCCTGCCCGGCTGCCATCCCAGTAGACTGCAGGACGACTCGGCAAGAGGTCGAGATGGCATCACTACGTTGTTATTCTACTTCTAAGTGAATTCGACCCTTCCAAGTTCACCAAGGGGAGAGAAAATGTTTTAGATTCCAAATAGCATTTGGCTCTTGGCCCAGGACCATGGTCAGCAAACCGCTGCTCGCGAGCCACATTGGGCTCTTTGGCCCCTTGAGTGTGGCTTTTCCACAAAATACCACGGCCTGGGCGAGTCTCTTTTGAAGAAGCAGCGTTAGGAGAAGTTTGCGTTTTAAAAATGTGACTCTCCAAAGAAATTTCAATTGTTGTACTGTTGGTATTTGGCTCTGTTGGCTAATGAGTTTGCCGACCACTGGTCCAGAGCACTTCAAAGCAGATCCCCTTAGACTAGGGGTGTCGAACTCAATCAGAGAAGGGGCCAAAATCTAAAATCCAGCCTAAATCGCGGGCCGAATGGTTTACTGAACAGTCATAAACTGTCATTGTGATGGAAACGCCTTAGACACTACCATGAATATTCTCCAGGCTCCCCATTCGTCTCACCCCCACCATCACCACGAACTTATATGGCTGCCTTCCTCCATCACCACATCCTGAGCACCTCGCCACCAACGGTCCTGCTGGGAAGCTGTGTCCCTCACCCACAGAAACACCAGGCCCCTGAGGGAGAGAGGAGCTGAGGAGCGCGCAGGGCATGGGGCTGCAGGTGCAGCATAAGGATTCGCTCTCCCACTGGCACCTGAGAAGGACAGCAGGTCCTGCCCAGTGAGAAAGACCACCTCCTGTGGGTGAAGGGTTAATCCCCGGTCACCATCTGCCCCTGCTGAGCTACAATCCCTGTGAGAGCTGCTGCCAAGGAGGCTGGCCCTGCCCTGGGGAGCCGCCACCCTTAGGAACTGAACTGTGGACGGAGACCGGGCGGCGACCCGCCAGCTGGAAGAAAGGGCGAGGGTCTGAGAATCGGCCGGAGCCAAGTGCTGCTGGCACGGAGGGAGCCGGTGCCGGGAACTGCCCAGCGTGGGCAGCCTGCTAACGAGCCTGCGCCTGCAGAGAGGGCACCAAGCAAAGACCCGCAGCCAGCGGCCAGCAGCCAGCAGCCCGGGGAGCAGGGCCCCCGCGGGGATGACTGGACCACAGGCTTCACTCACCAGGAAGAAGCCACGGCTCTTCCTTCCCAGGCCTCCCTCTGAAACAGACTCTGGTCTGGAATCAGAGGACCAGGCGGGGCCGGGAGGGGACCGTCTCATGGAGAGATGTGAGTTGTCATCTCTTTGTTGGGATGAGCGGTACGCTCCCACATGTTCGGTGTCTTAGTGAGGAGGGAGGAATTGACGTATAAAATAAGAGGGCCCTGTAGGGCCAGCGATGACTGACTCGCCAAGAGAGGGTACAGGGGTTCCGATTGGCGGCCCCTGAGCCCCATGTCCCATCCCGGCCCTGACAGCTCCCCACTGCCCTCAGGGCCTCGCAGCCGGGAGACTGACGGGCTCCACAAACGACAGGGCCTGTCCTCCCTCAGATTCTAGAAGTTACATTCACCTGAATGTCCCCACCCATTCTGTTTCCTCCGCGGCTTCTGACCCCGCAGTGTCAGTAACAGGACCACCGGGTCAGCCCGGAGGCGGCCTGGCTCCTGTTGTTTCTTGTTCCCTGTTATCCGCACCGGGGACCCCGATGCAGACAGACCTGCGGGACCTTTGGCTCCGTGTGCTCTTCTCAGACCAGACACTTCCTGTCCCTGCCAGCGGCTACTGCGCTGCGGCCTCTCCCTTCATCTCACAGCCCGCCCGGTGGTGCCCACCCCCTTCTCAGAGTTGCCCAGTTTCAACTGCAGACAAACAACCGACCCCTTCTTTGGAGGCCGGGGGAGAGCGCAGACAAGATTTGGGGGAGCCTCAGTCATCCAACGGCCAGCTAAGGAGCAGCGTCAGCGTGCTTGTTCCTGAGCGCCCTGTCCGGGGATGGGGCGGGAGAGGCATGCCCCGCGCAAATGGCACTGAGTGACTGCCACATGGCACAGGTCCCCCTGCGCTGCCAGCCCAATCAGGCCCGCGGCCGTAATCTGACTCCGGCCTGGTGACGGGCGGGCGGGCGGGCGGGCGGGCCAGAGCCGCACTCGGCGGGGGGAAGGCATGAGCGACAGAGCCGGACCGGCAGCCGGGCGGTGGTGGTGAGTCCTGCTCCGCCTGCCTGCGGGGACCTTGCGGGCCGGCAGGTGGGAGTGGGCTGCTTTGTGGGGGCCGGTGCCTGCCCTGCAGGACCGGGGAGGGAGCCGGGAGCGGGCTGACGGCTGAGGGCTGAGCCCTGGGGTGCTGGCGGGCGGGGGAGGGCTGCGGGGAAGGGGTGCGCCTTGGAGACCTGGGGCCGCAGGGAGTGGGACCTGGAGGTGGGGCTGCCGAAAGCATTTTCCATCAAAACATGACCACTCGGGGCTCGGCCGCCAGCAGCAGGTCAGCCGGGAGTTCCCGAAAGAGAAACGCACCCCTTTCCCTGCCATGGGGCCCCCCAAGAGCCCCTTTCCCTGCCATGGGGCCCCCCAATGAGCCCCTTTCCCTGCCATGGAGCCCCCCAATGAGCCCCTTTCCCTGCCATGGGGCCCCCCAATGAGCCCCTTTCCCTGCCATGGTGCGCCCCAATGAGCCCCTTTCCCTGCCATGGGGCCCCCCAATGAGCCCCTTTCCCTGCCATGGGGCCCCCCAATGAGCCCCTTTCCCTGCCATGGTGCGCCCCAATGAGCCCCTTTCCCTGCCATGGAGCCCCCCAATGAGCCCCTTTCCTGCCATAGAGCCCCCCAATGAGCCCCTTTCCCTGCCATGGGGCGCCCCAGCGAGCCCCTTTCTCTGGGGCAAAGGGAGCGAAACAAATGGTGTCGCCCCATTTCAGGGTATGGGGGGGGACGGACTCTGAGGGCCACAGGAGGGCCGCTGGGAGCTGCTGAGGCCCAGTCTGCGTGCGCTGCCAGGGGACTCCGGGGAGGGGAGCAGACTCGGGGGCTCCCCAAAGAAGCCAGAGGCTCCCTAAGGCGTTAGTTTCTCTGTTGGTTTTCGTGGGTATTTTTTTCTGATGAAAATTTAAAGCTGAAGGAGCAACTGGGTTTCTGAAATCAGGTATCTGGAGAGGTGGACGGATGCCCGAGGGAGGGGAAGGGAGAGGGGCTGAGGGATGGGCAGGGAGAGGGGCTGAGGGATGGAAGGGAGAGGGGCTGAGGGATGGGCAGGGAGAGGGGCTGAGGGATGGAAGGGAGAGGGGCTGAGGGATGGGCAGGGAGAGGGGCTGAGGGATGGAAGGGAGAGGGGCTGAGAGATGGGCAGGGAGAGGGGCTAAGGGATGGAAGGGAGAGGGGCTGAGGGATGGGCAGGGAGAGGGGCTGAGGGATGGAAGGGAGAGGGGCTGAGGGATGGGCAGGGAGAGGGGCTGAGGGATGGAAGGGAGAGGGGCTGAGAGATGGGCAGGGAGAGGGGCTAAGGGATGGAAGGGAGAGGGGCTGAGGGATGGAAGGGAGAGGGGCTGAGGGATGGAAGGGAGAGGGCTGAGGGAGGGGAAGGGAGAGGGGCTGAAGGATGGAAGGGAGAGGGGCTGAGGGATGGAAGGGAGAGGGGCTGAGGGATGGGCAGGGAGAGGGGCTGAGGGATGGAAGGGAGAGGGGCTGAGGGAGGGGAAGGGAGAGGGGCTGAGGGATGGGCAGGGAGAGGGGCTGAGGGATGGAAGGGAGAGGGGCTGAGGGAGGGGAAGGGAGAGGGTCTGAGGGACGAGCAGGGAGAGAGAACAGGAGCTGGGGAAGGTGATGGAAGAGGGGTGCAGTGAGGGGTGGGGGGCGGCCTCTCCCAGGCCTGCCTCCAGGTGACCCGTGGCCGTGGCTGCTAAAGGGGACTGCCCACTGGCTCCTGGGCTTCCTCTTTCCCACAGACTCCGGCCACGGAGGGAGGAGCGCAGGTGCCAGCCCCGTGCCGGCTGCCTGAGCCCAGAGGCCCCTCCCTCTGCCCCTGTGTGAGCTGCCTGCCTCTCCCTGGGGAACCAGTAATGTCTCTCCCAGGGCGCCTCCTGCCCGCGTTCCCAGGCTGCTTTGTCCCAGTTTTCTCCGCCTCCGGAGTGTGCAGTCCGGGCCTCCCCGCGGGGTTTTGCAATTAGGATTCACTCAGAGGACTCACTGGGCAGTGGGCTGGCCCTCCCCCGGGGCCTCCTGGGCTTGGGCAGGAAATGGGGGTCTCTTTCCATGTCAGACCAGAGGCTGAGTGGAGCTCCTGAAAGTCAAGGCTGAGTTCCCCTGGCCTTTGGCTCCGGGGGACCCCAGTGTGGAGGTGTGTGTGGAGGGGTGTGTGGGGGATGGGGGTGTGTGTGAGGGGTGTAAGGGGGTGTGGAGGTGTGTTGGGGGTGTGGGGGGTGGAGGAGGTGTGTGGGGGGGTGGGGGGGGGGGGGGGGTGGTGGGGGGTGTGGGGGGGGGTTGGGGGGTGGGGGGGGTGTGGGGGTGTGTGTGGGGGGGTGTGGGGGGTGTGGGTGTGTGTGGGGGGGGTGGGTGTTGCTGAGGGGTGGTGTGTGGTGGGGGGTGTGTTTGGGGGGTTATGTGGGGGGTGTGGGGGGATGTGGTGTTTGAGGGGTTGTAGGGGGGTGTGGGAGGTGTGTGTGGGTGTGTGGGGGGTGTGGGGGGTGTGTGTGGGGTGTGTGGGGGTGTGGGGGGTGGGGGGTGTGTGTGGGGGTGTGTGTGGGGGGGGGGGGTGGGGGGGTGGGGGGGTGGTGGGGGTGGGGGGGGGGGGGGTGGGGGGGGGGGGGTGGGGGGGGGGGGGGGGGGGGTGGGGGGGGTGTGGGGGTGGTGTGGGTGGGGGGGGGTGTGGGGGGGTGGGGGGGTGTGTGTGGGGGGGGGGGGTGGGGGGGTATATGGCGGATGGGGGTGGAGGGGGTGGTGTGAGTGGGGGGGGCTGGGGGGTGTGTGGGGGGTATGTGGGGTGTGTGAGGGTAGGGGGGATGGGGGGTGGTCGAGGGGTCGTGAGGGGCGGTGTGTGTGGGGGGAGGTGTGTGTTGGGTGGGGGGTATGTGGGGGGGTGTGGGGGTATGTGGGTGTGTAGGTGTGAGGAGGGGTGTGAGGGGAGGAGGGGTGGTGTGTGGTGGGGGGTGTGTTTGGGGGGTTATGTGGGGGGTGTGGGGGGATGTGGTGTTTGAGGGGTTGTAGGGGGGTGTGGAGGTGTGTGTGGGTGTGTGTGTGGGGGGTGGAGGGGTGTGTGTGGGGGGGGGGGTGGGGGGGTGTGTGGGGGTGTGTGTGGGGGTGTGGGGGGTGGGGGGGTGGGGGGGTGGGGGGGTGTGTGGGGGGGTGTGTGGGGGGGTGGGGGGGGTGGGGGGGTGGGGGGTGTGTGTGGGGGGTGTGGGGGTGTGTGTGGAGGTGTGTGTGGGGGTGTGTGTGGGGGTGTGTGTGGAGGTGTGTGTGGGGGTATGTGTGGAGGTGTGGGGGGGGTGAGGGTGTGGGTGTGTGGGGGGGGGCTGTCTGGGAAGCAGTCTTTGGGGCATGTGGGTGACCCGGGGGCTCCCCGCCGTGGAGCAGGCCCGCGGGCCGGGGCCCCCTGAGCCCCGAACCAGGGTGCTAGCTGCTGACACCCGTCTCCTCTGCTCCCCAGCAAGTGCGGGCCTCGGTGCGGGAGCCAGGGCGCCATGACGGCCTTCCGCGGGGTGTGGACCCAGGCCTTCTGGAAGGCGGTCACGGCCGAGTTCCTGGCCATGCTCATCTTCGTGCTGCTCAGCCTGGGCTCCACCGTCAACTGGGGCGGCGCCGAGCAGCCGCTGCCCGTGGACATGGTGCTCATCTCGCTGTGCTTCGGCCTGAGCATCGCCACCATGGTGCAGTGCTTCGGCCACATCAGCGGCGGCCACATCAACCCCGCCGTCACCGTGGCCATGGTGTGCACCCGCAAGATGAGCCTGGCCAAGTCCGTCTTCTACATCGCGGCCCAGTGCCTGGGGGCCATCCTGGGGGCCGGCATCCTCTACCTCGTCACCCCGCCCAGCGTGGTGGGCGGCCTGGGCGTCACCACGGTAGCCTCTTCAGCTCTTAGCGTTGTCTCGTTGGTTTGTTAATTTTTATTGTGGAAAATATTACATGTGTCCAGGCCCCCCTCCCGTGACCCCCTCCAGCTCGCCCCTACCCCCACCCCAGGCCTTCAGCACCCTATCGTCTGTGTCCATGGGCCATGCATATCTGCACACATGGTCTTCGGTTGATTACCTCCCACCCACCCACCCACCCTCCCTGCCTCCCCTCTGAGATTCCACACTCTGTTCCATGCTTCCATGTCTCTGGATCCACTCTGCTCATCTGTTTATTTTGTTCATGAGACTCCACATATGAGTGAGATCACGTGATACTTGTCTTTCTCTGCCTGGCTTATTTCACTTAGCATGACGCTTTCCAGGTCCGTGCATGCTGTCTCAGGGGTAAGAGATCCTTCTTTTTCATTGCTGCATAGTATTACATGGTGAAAATGTACGCCGTCCGCTCTTATTTTTAAACTAGGACTTCAGCTTCTTGTGGACTCTATTCAATAACACCCTGGAGGCCTGAGAGACCTTCCTAAAATAGCTAATTTATTCTCAGGGCATATCTGGTGATTCTTGATGAACTTGAAAACTGTCTTGGTGGCACAAAAATGGTGTTGGTTTTTCCCTTTCTCTCTCCCACCCCAGTGACTACACCAACTATACATTTAGCATAAAATACTTTTATTATCATTACTAGAGGCCTGGTGCACGAATTTGTGCACAGGTGAGGTCGTGGAGGGGATACAGGAGGTTGGTCAGCCAGCCCCACCCCAGATCGAGGTGGAGGGGTGGAGGGGGTGCCAGTCAGGGGCCGGACCAGCTGAGGGAAGGGGCCATGGAGGTTGGTCGGCTGGCCCCACCCCTGATCGGACTGGTTGGCTGGCCACAGTAAACATCATAGCAACCGGTCATTCTGGATGTTCCAGTCACTTAGGCTTTTATATATATAGATTTGTTGGTTCACTAGCAGAAGAAACAATTAGTTTCTTCCTATATTTGTGAAATTTTAAATGATCTAGTTAAGGATCACACTTAAAAAAAGTACATTGGCATTTGAACCTAACTTGGCTCTCAGCTGATTAGGATTATCATTTGTTAGCTCATCACCAGAGTTGATTTAAAACACACACACACAGTATAAATTTTAATTGAAATAATATATATGAATTAATTTAAATCTAATTAATGTATTTAATCATTTCCTTATAAAATTATAAGACTCTCAAGAAACTCTTTTATAAATTAAGTAGAGCAGTGGCACGTTTCACTTCCCTTGTTGAAACCCCTGCTTGGTCATTGTAAGAGGATTAATTACCTGTGATTGCCCAGAATGAGTGGGGATTGGTGCCTTCTTTTTGGGGGGACAGGAGCAGCGTCTCAGTTGTGAGTGGAGTAGAAGATGCAGCCATCAGTCGTTTATTTTATTACAGTTTCCATTCAATATTCTTTCGTATTTGTTTCAGGTGGACAGCGTGATAGTTAGACAATCATGTACTTTACAGAGTGGTTCCCCCTTGTGTTTCAAGTACCCACCTGGCACCTTACATAGTTATTACAACACTAGAGACCCGATGCATGAAATCTGTGCAAGAGGCTCTCGGCCCTCGCAGCCCCAGCTTTGTCCGGAAGGTCATCCAAAAGGATGTCTGGAAGGTCATTAAGCTGTCTAGTCTAATTAGCATATTACACTTTTATTATTATAGACTAGAGGCCTGGTGCATGAAATTCATGCATTGGTGGGGGAAGGGGTCCCTCAGCCCAGCCTGCACACTCTCCAATCCAGGACCAGAGTTGGGAACTGGCCTAAACCAGCAGTCAGACATCCCTCTTGCATTCCAGGACTGCTGGCTCCTAACTGCTCACCTGACTGCCTACCTGATCATCCCTAACCACTCTGCCTGCCTGCCTGGTGCCCCTAACTGCTCCCCTGCTGACCTGATCACCCCAACCACCTCTGCCTCAACCCTCACCACTGTGGCTTTGTCCAGAAGGACATCCAGAAGATGTCTGGTCTTTTATTAGTATAGATTACTGACTCTATTCCCTGTGTTGTCATTTAGATCTCTGTGACTTTTCAGAAACTAACAATTTATGCTTCTTAATCCATTCACCTTCTCACCTAGTCCCTACCCCCTCCACTGTCAACCATCAGTCTGTTCTCTTCTCTGTGTCTCTGAGATGTTTCTATTTTGTTCTGTAGAGTCTGCATATAAGTGAAATTATATGCCCACCATTGCTTTCAAACGGATGAAATGCTGTGTCGCCATAGGAAATGTATTCTTGCTTCAGCTCAGACTGAGGATTCTTCTCTTCCTAGGTCCATGGGAATCTCACTGCAGGCCACGGTCTCCTGGTGGAGCTGATCATCACATTCCAGTTGGTGTTTACTATTTTTGCCAGCTGTGACTCCAAACGGACTGATGTCACTGGCTCCATCGCTTTAGCAATTGGATTCTCTGTTGCAATTGGACATTTATTTGCAGTAAGTTTCCAAGTCCATTTGAATAATTGATCCATTTCATTTAGCCTCGCCCTAGAGCTGGCCTGAAAACGTGGTGTTTTACAGCTGGAGTCCTTTCACTGCAGCCATGCCGGTCCCTTCCTGGGGATTACTTTACCAGCTTTCCCACGAGGATGGTGATATGGTAGCGAGCATCTTTTTTTTTTATGTCTCTATTATAAACTTTTTATTTAACATAAATTCCTTATAAAAGTTTAAAATTTATTTGCTATACATTTTTGCAAAAGATGTCCATCTGCTCTATCCTGTTTTCAGTTGCATCTACATTTATTATACAGATCAGAGACTAAAAATAAGTCATAATTGGAAGTGAGCTAAAAATGAGGAAAAATATGCTTCTTAGGATTGTAGTATTACCAGAAATATTTATAAAAGACTCACTAATCCACTTTGTACTGTAGCTTGGGATTCAGAATAATACATACACTGGCCAAAAGGATTTACTTAAGAAAAGGATGTGTTCATCACAGTTTAACTTACAAGCATACACAGATGATCTCAGGTGTTACACATCTGAAAAAACATGTACCTTTACCATTTAAATATTTCTTATTTTCATATCTTGACGGCTCTCGGGTAGCATTGCAAATGGTAGCAAACCTCACGGAAAGAGACCCCTCAGGAGGCCTGTGTCAGCAGAGTCTGAAGTTGGTTTATTTCTCCCCGCAGATCAATTACACCGGTGCCAGCATGAACCCCGCCCGATCCTTCGGACCCGCAGTCATCATGGGAAATTGGGAAAACCACTGGGTAACTATCACGTTGAGGACAGTTACCCATGGAGCTCGGACTTTTTTCATTATTTTTCTCACTGGTTTCTCCTACTTCCTCCCAACCTTGACCTCCTACTGATTACATTTTTCATAAGAGAGACTAGCACAGATCCGTTGCAAAACATCTCATCTCATATCTGCCCTGAGCCTCGGTAATAGTCTTTTTTTTTTTTAAGCACTGCTCTGGGCACTGTATCTGACAGACTCCAGCAGAATACATTGCCCACGGAGGTTGCCTGTGTGGAACCAGTTAAAATCAGGACAGTGGAGAGGAGATGGTTTTTAAATAATTGAAAGTAAAGCCTTCCTGGCAATAAGAGGAAATACACTTGCAGAAAGAAGATGAAGGAGAAAAAAAGAATGAAATGTTTAAAAGCACTGCCCATAGCAAAAATAGTTATCTTTTTTGTTTACGAAAGCATGAACCCAATTAATAGCCTGCACGTTGGAAGCATCTGAACGCAGATGGCGAGGAGTGAATGGTGCAAATGTTTACGCTGTGATCGCCGGAGCCACAGCGGGGAAATAACTGATTTTCCGAAAAGGCCTGCCTGCAGCCTCCCGCCTCTCCTACCTACTGATGCACTGGCCGTGCTTCTGGAGAGAGGGGTGCCTGTTCTTAACTCACCCCCAACTCCATTTCAATTGCTTCTTCCAAAAAGGAGTTTTCATTCCTTAGCTGAGTAATGTAGCAGCATTGATGGCCACTCACACGCTAACTTACAATAAGCAATATAAATATGAGACAGAAGCCACCTCCCATGGGGCTGGCGTTTATTGTCACTTACATGTTGTGAGTGCTAGTTTGCAATGTTTAGTTTATGAACATAAAGAATGTCACCTGTGTGTCAGTCTCGGGCACGGAGTGGTCACTGGCCCAGCCACACCGTTCAGCCACAGCAAACACTGCAAATGAGAAGCAATGGCAGCCCAGGGTGAGCATTGAGTCCTAAAATCCGCACCTGGTGTTTACAGAAATCCACCCCATTGACGACTCAAAGCAGGAGTCAGGACCGAGACAGGCCACGACTTTTCAACAATACGACCCATCGGACTGGTTATTTTGCCACTGATATTTCTAAATGTGTGCCTCGACAAAATGGCCACAGCAACAGGAACGGAAATGTTTTTATGGGCAGTATATAGATCTTATGAAAACGACACAACTTTCAGTTCAACCTAACCTATTAAATTCAAACTTTTTTTTACAATTAAAATTTAGGAACAACTTTTAGTTCAATTTATGAGGACTTTAAAATGCAGGTGAAAATATGTTTTTATTCATTACTTGTTAGGTGTGATAAACTAGAGATAATTTAAAGAGAATCAAAGTTTCTTCCTGTTATTTTATAACAAACCTACTCCTACTGAAAGTGAATGTTCAATGGTGTGTGAAATTTAGAACTAAATTAAAGTATATCTGCAGATAAATAGATGATAGATAGATAGATAGATAGATATAGATGATAGATAGACTAGAAATAACACCCAAATAATAATGACATTATTTTAGTTTTCTTTTTTATACTTTTCTGTATTTTTAAGAATAAAGTTATTTTCCTTTATAGTTTTTACAATGTACTTTAAGACTTTGTTTTGAAATAGCCTTTGGAATTCAGATCTGTTCGTTTTTAGCACATGCAGCTCGATGCCTTGCTCATAGGTGCTCAGGGGGAAGGGTGGTGATTGTGTAGCATTCTGTCTCCCTGTGGGACTTGTAGCTGGTGGAGTGAATCTAGCCAAGGAGATCTGACTGAAGGAACAAAGAGTAAAGACTGTCTGCGGAGGGCTCCTCTGAAAGGGCCTGGAGAGGGAAGCTCGCACATGGTGTCTTTCATGTTGGATATGGGAGACGTGGTTCTTGTAACCACTCCGCCCTGCTCCCCTGTTCAGTATACATGTTCAGTTTTAGCTCCAAGCTTGAATTCTCTTTAGATTTTGCAGGGAGGGTGCTGATTTTAATTTTCAGAGAGTGTTGGAAGCTTGAATCATTCTTACTTTTTTCTTTTTCTTTTTTTTTCAAATGAGAAGACTGTACGGAGGAAAGTGATGTAATAGCTCAAAAGAGTGGTTTGCATGCACACAGGCCTGGAATCCCAGCTCAGGGGGTTGCTAGGCATGAGCTCTGAAGCAAGCCTCTTCCCCTCTCGGAGAGGCGGTGTTCTTACTGATCAAACGGAAGTTCTAATTACACCCGGCTCAGAGAGTGATGCTGCGGTTAAGTGAGTGCATGTGAGGAAAGTATTAAGAACAGCTGGCTCGGAGGAAGTGCCCAGTAAATGGGGTTTCTGTTGCCCACGTGAATTAATCTTTAAAAAACAAACAAACATTTTTTAATATGTCTTTATTGGTTTCAGAGAAGAAGAAAGGGAGAGAGAAATAGAAGCAGCAATGATGAGAGAAAATCATTGATCGCCTGCCTCCTCCACTCCCCCTATTGGGGATCGAGCCTGCACCCTGGGCATGTGCCGTTGGCCGGAAGGAATTGAACCTGGGACCCTTCAGTCCTCAGGCCAACGCTCTATCCACTGAGCCACACCAGCTAGGGCAGCCCACGTGAATCTCTGGAATGAATGGCTGATTGTCCACAGCCTACATATGCGCTACAGCCAATGTTGACATTTATCCCAAACTCAAAATTTAATTTATTCCAGACACGGAAGTGATGCGATACAAGCTTTCGTTTACTGAGTTAACATCGCTGAGGCCTTGCTCGCTCATCCTCAGACAGCCAGCACCGTGGACGCAGTGCAGGGCTCTCCTCCCGGTCACCGCGGGCAGGAAGGGCGAGCGAGAGCTCTGCAGGAGAGTAGCGGAGGAGCCAGGAGGCGTTCAGTTAAATCACATCACATGTTAGAGCGGGAAAGCACGTGGCACACACGGAGATGACTTACTGGGATGGCCAGCCTAGACGCGAGCATCTTAAATCGCCTGGGAAACACGGAATGCGCAGGTTACTGTGCCACTGGAACTGCTCAGTATCTACAAGCACGTGATTAAATTTCAGTCCGTTTCCATTTAATCCCGCACCCGGTGATGTGTGTGTTGTAATAATCCCTGCTCTGTCGGTGAGGAATTGAGGGTTAGGAAGTGAAGTCGCTGATGCAGACACTCACGAAGCTGAGCTGAGCGGGGAGCTGAGAGCCTTCTTCACACTGTGCTGACAGCAGGAGCTCCCGGTGGGAGACTGTGCATGACTGTGAGAAGCTGAGGAGCCTGTGAGATGGCATCAAGAACACGAGCAAAGCACTCACAGACCTTTTTCTGTGTTAGCTGCGAGTTCTTATGTCCATTCATACGCAGGCCCACCAAAGAGGGCTACCTGTCCTTCAGTGGTCATCAGAACACGGAAAGCAAGTCGTTGATGAAAGGAAAAGAGAAAGCAGTCTTTTCTTATTTTCTGCTCAAATGTCATTTAACGATGGGTCTCTGACGTGGATTTGGTGTATTTTTCTTTATTCTGTCCAGCTCCTCTCTTTTTCATACAATTCATTCCCTGTGACCCGCACATGACCCTCTCTTAACTTAAGCCAGCTAATTTCTACCTGTGGGAGTCGTTCACGGGATGGTTTTTCTCTGAGTTCTCTAACTCCTCCCTCTCCTCCCCAGATCTACTGGGTTGGACCAATCATCGGAGCGGTCCTAGCTGGCGGCCTGTACGAGTACGTCTTCTGCCCGGACGTGGAACTCAAGCGTCGCCTCAAAGAAGCCTTCAGCAAGGCGGCCCAGCAGACCAAGGGGAGCTACATGGAGGTGGAGGACAACCGCAGCCAGGTGGAGGCCGAGGACTTGATCCTCAAGCCTGGCGTGGTGCACGTGATCGACATGGACCGGGCCGAGGAGAAGAAGGGCAAGGACCCTTCGGGGGAAGTGCTGTCCTCGGTATGACTAGAAGCTGGCACTGGAAGCAGACCCTCGTCCTCGGAGCTGCCCCCGGAGGTCCTCCCACCCATCAAGGAGACGGACTTGTTGTAAAGTAGGCCTGTGTCCTGTCATCTCACTCAGACTAGCTAACAAGCACTTCATTCTTGGCTAAGGAGGAATGGAAGAAACCAATTGGGAATTCCAATCTAAAAAAAAAATAATAATAATAATATTTTAAAAGTATCCCCAAAGCAACTATGCATCTAGAGCATCTAGTTGCCACTCATTAGTAACCAATTTCAAGTGCATATCAGGACCTGGTTAAGTCTCGCCTGACAGAAAATGTAGGCAAACAGATCCTCTTATTCCTCCTCGACCAGGAGATTGGTGCCATCACTTCTCATTGGAGCATTTATTGTTCCATTAAATCAAGTTGGTCAGGGGCAGAGCCCAGAGGGTCACAGAGCCAGGCGCACTCAGAGAGGCTATTGCTATGAGCGGTCCCTTGCTTACAAACTACGTCAGCAAAAGGGTACACCCACAAGGGCCATTGCCAATGGGTTATTTCCATCTATATTCCTAATAACGAACTTTAACCCAAACTCCAATTCATAATGTTCCTTCCTCCTCTTCATGCCTACGATAATGTGAACTAAAACCCAGAAATGGGAAGAATGTTCAGAAACCCTATATATGAGTTAGCTCTACCCAGCAAACATCCAGAGAGTAAGAGACATCTATTGAGATTCAGGACAAGCCAATTCATGAGGTCTCACGAGGGTGGGAGGGAAGAACCATCATAGGGAAACCACGGGAACGGGGAATCTGAATTCTGGCATCGGACAGGCGTTCTGTTTTCAGTGCACAGCCTCAACTCCATTACGTGGGGATGACAGGCTAAGCTTTTAACCTCTTAACGACTTTGCTTATATTTTTTAATTTATTGGCAAAACTAGGGGTTTTGTTCATTTGTAACTTTGGTTATCTATAGATAAACATTAGCTGAGACATATTTTTGATAACAAGAACTTAATAGGTGAGTTTGGGCTTTTTGTTGACTAGTAAGCTCTGTCCAACAAGAAGGTGTGAGCTGGCCCTGCCTAGTCCTGCCCTCTGATGCTGACTCACTTCTCATGGGGTGAGCTGACTGTGGCCACTGCGGGGCAATGGTATTTAATGAGGGAAAACGCATGCGAGACGAGGAACAGCGTGGCTGAGAAATAAAAGGGCGAGGCCATCAGAGCATCCTGTGTTCGAAGCTGAGCAGGTGGCCAGTCTTTCATTAGGAGGGAGACTGTACATAACCCAACACGTTTTCTAAGTATTTTCCTTACTGACTTGTTAATTTGTCAAAATGGTTTGTCTGTTCCTGTACGGCTTTGCCTTCCTGTCAGTAGAATGATCTCTGCTGCCCCAGTTTCTATCACCTTCGCTGGGCGGCCCAGCCCTTCCCTTAGACAGCGCTGCACAGCGCGCTTCTCCTGAGCAAAAGCCGGTCGTGAAGCAAAAGCCGATCGCTGCAGAGAACGGCTTGTAATCAGCTGATAGTCGAGGGCTGTCTGCTCTCGCACAGTTCCAGCTGGGCGCCGTCTCAGCGCTGAGTCTGTGGCCGGGAGATATGGACCACTAGGCACCCTGATTCTCTTTGGTGCCAGGAACGTGGCACGTGACGTGCAAGGATCCCAGGCAGTCATCACCCCATCGCTGTGCCAGGAGGCCACTGGAACCTTGTAAATATATTTGTATTGACGTCAGAGAAGCAGGGAGGAGAGGGAGAAACATCAATGATAAGAGAGAATCCTTGATTAGCTGCCTCCTGCACGCCCCCTTCTGGGGATCGAGCTCACAACAGGGTATGTGCCCTCATTGGAAAAGAACCAGGCATAGATCCATGCTCAGCCGCTGAGCCACGCCGCTGGCCACTGGCAAGTTTTCCCAGCAGGTGCCAAACCCAGCCCCCTTTCTCAGGGGTGTGGCCAACCCCCGCTCCGAGGGTGGTGCAGGCTGCTTCCTGTGGGGGGGAGCATCTACAGGAACCAGATGCAATGCTGAGGATGCTTCACACCAGCCTTTTACATGTGTGTATGATATACACTGAAGACTTAAAGCCGGTGGTGGTTCCATTCGGAAGATCATTTGCAAGCATCTCAGTTCAAAAGCAGGCTCAGGAGGACAAGCGAAGCACATCCCTCAGCCTCTGCAGCGCACGGGCTCAGATCCCTTCACTCGGCCATGTTTTACCTCCTCCCCACTCACTTCCCTGAGAGCGTCCAGTGCGTTGGTGCTGAGACAAAGCACACACGATGTCCTTGTACTTCGTTTCCCAGCAGCTAACAGAGTGGCTGGCACATAGTAGGTATTCAGAACACGTGTTCGTTCATGAAAACATATACATGTCATTTGGGATTTGGGAGTATGAATAATATTCTCTTAATCTTTATTTTGTTCTAGATTTAATAAAAGCATGATTTCAAGGACTAGTAGCGGAAGGCCCTATAACTGTAAACACCATAAAATGTATTTTTGCAGTCCACCTTTTTCCCTGCACGTGGGACAGCGTGGCTTGCGTCTCACTCACGGCTGTGCCCGGAAAAGGAGTGAGATGGTGCCTTCCTAATGGCCCTGCCGCAGCAGGGTCTGTGCCTCTGGGGGGCGCCAGAGCCTCCCGGCGCAGGAGGAGGAGACGGGCTTCTCCCTCACTCCCTTCTTGTTAACGAAGGGCCTCGCTGCTCCCAGGAGAGCCCCTGACAGGGACCCAGAGAAGAGACCAGAGCGGAGGCACGGGGAGGACATGAATGAATTATACCGGCCTGGAAGCGATGCAGAGAGGTACAGCAGCCGCCCCCACTGTGCAAGATGGCCCCACCCTGCACGTGGGCTCGTTTATCAGAGCGTTCTGGGGGCGGGGGAGGGGGGAGTGGTCATTTGTTTAAGTGTTCGGAGCGGAGGCCCAGAATCTGGAATGAGTGTTTTCATCGGTGAAGAACAGCGTTTCCTTCCAGGACTCCTAAAGGCTCACCCGGAAGGAGGATTCGCTGGGACCACAGGAGCTGCCTACCGTTAAGATTTCTCCACTCTCTGCTTCTGCCGTTTGAGGTTTTTCCTTCATCCTTACACTTCCTAACCTCTGACCACTTCCTGATGCAGTTGAGGGTGCTAGCCAGAGCTACCGCTCCGGCTGGAAGATTTTTACCAGAAGGACAGACACATCTGAATAAAATAGATGGCGTTAAGCTGTCTGATTAATTACTACAGGTCTGACTCTAATATATATATATATATATTCTTCTTGGACCCTGAAACCAGGAGACTCGCTTACTGGTCTAAACTACAAAATGAACAGGAGGATTCCAAAGCAGAGGAGCAAATTCAAAGGCGAACACTGATTCTGGCGAGGCCCTGTATTGCATCCTGTCCCGTCATCCCCACTTGCCGTCATCATTGGACAGAGAAGTCACCTTTGTGACCACTGGAGAGGGCACCGGGGGCTCAAGAGAGCCCCTAACCAATAGCCTCGAAGCCTAAATAAATTCTCCTCATGAGCTCTAGAGAACACGTAAAGAAGAATATTTTAGACCTGATAGTAATAGTAATTCTGTCTCCCATGGTGTGTTGAGAGCATCAGAAGTATGAGGAAGGCGTGGTAACTCTGGAAAGTGCAAAACACATTCTTTGCCACATGTTTGCTCTCTTTGCATGGGATGGTGGTAGGTCACCTCAAAAGAGCAGTAACTTTTGAAGCCCATCATTTTTCCGAACAACCCGGAAGACACTTGATTCAGGGCCCAAAACATGTGGCTGCACACATTCACAAAACAACTATGGCTTATAAAATACATTATCAAATAAATGCTATACAACATGTGGAATAATTGCTTAAGTAAATTTAAGAACCGTTATGGTGTTACCAGGGCGTGTTAAAATTTAAGAGCTAAAAAGTGTACTTAATTTATAGAGCCCATTGGGAGATATTTCTAGATTCTCTTTGGGATTAATTAAATACACAGGCAATTTATGAAAATACATAAACAATAGTTTATCATGTTTATGGCCCAAATCACAAAGAAATTGTAATTCATGATAAACTGGTGAGAATAAACCGAGCATATGGTTATAGGCACAATCATTTATTAACTGAAATGTTATTCCACCGTTTGAGTTAATGTTAAGGAGATTTAAACTGTAATGTCTAATATTTGGGATAATCTATTAAAGTATTAGCACTGTGGTTGATTTCCATGAAGTATGTTGTATCTCATAATACTAAGCTTGTGAAAATAAACGTTTTAATGTTTTAAAAGGTACGCATGGTGCTGGGTGATGTGTGAACATTCATTCACTCATAGAGTATCAGCTCTCATGGCCATGAGTCTAAAAGTGAAGACACACACTGTGACTCAGATGAAGGTGGTGTTGCCAAGCAGATGATCCATCCTCAGGTCCTGCCCATGCAGGTGGATAAGACAGGTGCCCTGAGTACTGGCTTACCCCCTGAGTCCTTGGTTTGAGGGGCTCCTCGATTTTCGAGGCTATAGACCCTCCGGGAAGGATTGGGGACAGTCATTCTTGTGTACAACCCATCAACCAGGAGCAAGTGATGCCTCGGGCCAGGTGGACCTGAGCCTCTCTTACCGCATTCATCATGTTGGAGGACAATCGTATGTGCAGGTCTGTCTTCTCTTCTAGGTTCTAAACGCCTTGAGGGCCAAGACTGGGTATTATTTATTGATCTCCATGAATTATGTTGCATCTCACATGCTTGACATTTCACTTAACAAATGCTCATTTCATGAATGAATAAAGAACTTCAGGGAACATCTTACAGCGACTAGGAAATGCCACACGGTGCTAAACTCTAATCTAGTTGGTTGTGCTGCTATACAGGCACTGGCTATCTATCTGAATTCTTATCATTCCAGTTAGAAGCCTGAAATGAGTTCAGATGCTAAGGAAAAATAAAAGGAACATGCACAAAAAGAATGAAATGCTAACTGGATTTCTAAAATGTACACCTAGGGTGTAGGCAACAAGACATGTTTTCATGGCTACATTTATACGGTGGCCAGATGTTAGATGAAATTTAGCTCAATGAAAATTCCAGTAAGAAAGGTATTTTAACAAGCATGGAAGGCTAGAGATATAAATGTCAGCCTGACTTTAGATAATTATCCTGCTTGGAAAATGTCCAAAACAATACGCCATCTAAATTAATTCTTACTAT